GCTGAGAGGGAGAACAATTGAGATTCTTTGCATGTTGAAAGGCACCAGAAGTGCACTGTATTTCCCCTTTTCTGTCCTCAGCATCATCACAAGCAAATCTGCAGGAATAAAGAGCTTTGTGTGGTCCTTCTACGTTTTTCGTTGGCCCCTGCTGATGTAAATCAAACATACTGTCCTCCTGTTATCTTCAGGTTTAAAAACCCTATTTTTAATCATTTCATACAGGTATCTAATTTGAATCAGCCTGGCACACTGCAGGACTCTTGAGCTTTTTTAATTGGCATCTCTCTCATTACATTTGCACAAAGTTGCAGGGACACTGCAGGACACCAGTAGAGACATGTGAATCACCAATCCTGTTGGGCTGGCAACAAGACGGTGTGATACACCAGGGGAGTCTCAGAGACCTGTGGATGTGGTTAAGAGGACAGAGTGGAAGCAATCAAGTTCAGACATGTTGCTGTGACTGTTTCTAGGTCCTGCCTGTACCACCTGAAACAAAACTGTCATGGAAGCTTGCCTGAGATTTTTCACAGTAGTATGGTGTTAAACCAGCCTGGTTTCTAGGAGCAGTTCCTGGGATTCTGGTAATGCAGAGCTCCCTGAAGGTTTTAATGGAAATGTCGTCGGGCAAATATGTGAAGTACATCAAAATCAGTGTTTTAGCCCGTCAGAGAGATAGGCAAGGTACCCAACCAGTTCATGGAGTCAGTCTTACTTAAATTTCTTCAGTATTTGAAAATCAACCCTTAGGTATCTGCTAAGAGGCTGGTTTTTTTTTTTTTAATTTTTTTTTTTTTTCCTTAAGGAAGTAGCTCTTATCCTCAGACATGTTTACATGATGCTGTGACTCCTTTTCCAGTTTTGGCTGCCAACACGATGTGTCTAAACTTAGCATGTTGGTGTGCCTGGAGACATAAAGTGGAGAGGAGAGACTAGAGCAGTCTAGAATATGTTATTTGGCACTGAAGTACCTTCCTTCCCTCTCAGTCCATCATCCAGAATCTTGTCATTTGCAACAAAGTATTTCACAGTTCCGGTGGGCACTCTGGTTTTCCCTATCTTCCCCTTACTACTAAAAATTGGGGCTCTGCAGCTCTCTGGCAGAACTGGAGATGGGTGCTCCAGCTGCACCAAACACGCCAATCTTTTACCTGCCTTTATGGTGCTAGTAATTTGTTTTTTCATTCCTTTGGAGGCTTTGCTAGAGGGGTTAGGGCTCTTTTGCCTCCCTAATGACAGTTGGTAGAAACTAATTCTGAACTGAGAAGGCAAGTTTGCAGGAAAAGAAAGGCAGGAGTATCATCTACTGGGTAGACCAGCATTGCTTGTTCTTGCATTCAGGATGGATAATGCAGAATTTTACTAAGCCAGCCGGGAGCCCTCTGTTCCAGCCTCTTTCTCATGCGGTGATACCATGTGTGACCTAACCAAAATTTGGGGTCTGTGCCGTGGGAGATGTACGATGCTGGCACATGACAAGGCTTGCTTGCCTGTGCTGCATGACCAGGCTGTGTGACTGCCATGCAGGTCCTCACTGTCACACAGCAGGTCTATGTCCAGTCCTGTGACAGAGCTGAAAGCTGCCAGCAGCCACACCTTCTGCTTCTTGCAAATGATCCGAGTGCATAGCCATTGACCTCCTCATGTAATGGAGAGGAGGAACTGCAGGCCCACAGGATTGTGGTGTGCTGGTGAGCAAGCTTTCATTGAGCATTTTGAATCAAGCAAATGGGCAGTTTTTTTGTTGGCAAAACATTAAATCAGGATTCTCCATTCAAACCACACCACTCAGGATTTTTTAAAAAATTGTTTAGATGGACTAAATTATTAATAAGACAACCCAGAATCGAGTCATTGATGGTTAGGATCTAAGTCTAGGAAAGACTTTCAGGCAAGGAACCAGTTGTGCAAATCACATCTTGTGGGTTTTTTCATTCAGGTCAAACATATATTTGGATTTTATTAAGATTATGGTTAATTTGATTAATTTCTGATTGAAGGCCAAAACTAGCTTAAGTTGGAATCTACTCCATATTTGCTTTCCAACAGTCCTGAGGTTTGAAAGTGTTTGGTTTAGGTCTATAGTTCTGTGAGTACACAAACCCCATGCAACTTTGGAAGGGGTGGCTTTGGGTTCCAGTTTGGGTCTGGCCCTAAGCTTTGTTCTAAGTGCATAGAACTGGGCTCAGTTCTAGTGTTCTTACTGAGATTCAGACTTCCTCAAAACATGAGGAAATTTGGCCTGTTACCCTGTCTCAGGTGCATATATGACATCTCTAGAAAGTTAAGAGAAAAGTTATGGATCTAGGCGCCTTCCAATTGACAGGTTTTGAATCTGGATCAATTGCAAGTCTGAACATTTTTCAAAGTTTAGTGTTTCTGACTCAGTACACAGATTTCAATCTGAATGTCTTAAATTTGAAGGGATCAAGTCTGTTTTTTTATGCAAAGTTGGTACATTTTAAATATCTCTTCAGATTTGTATGTGTAAGATTGGTAGGACAAAGGAATTAATGTTAGTTGGGGTCATATATTCCAGGCTGCTAAGAACTTCTCACATCTGATATCCTCATTTTGGTGTAGACCTGGTTTTTAAATTTTAAATTTCAGAGACTATTCCTATTATTTGAACTGAATATGAGGATATGAAAACTCGTGATTTTCATCAGCTGGCTTTGATACAAGTCCCCTTGACAAAGTATTTATTTTTTTCCCATAATATTTGCCATCATAAAACTCTGAGAGATGCCAGGCCGAGATGGGAAGACTCTTCACATATTTACAGTACCATCTACTCATGGAACTACAGTTGAGTCTGTTTTACAGATGGAAAAACTGAGGCAATGACTGCTCAATTGGTACTTACACAGCCAGATCGAGTTACCACAGTTAGAAGCAAAGTCTACAAATGCCCCTTCTGCTTTCCTGACCTTACATACCCTTCAATAAGGTGATTATGGTCATAAAGTCCAGAGAAGAAAATATGTAATATGACTAAACTTTTGTAATATATATTTAGAGTAACCTGGAGAGCTGCCTCTACATATGCCAGGTGTGTACGTAGCTAAATATTGCAGAAAGAGTTGAACTAAGTCATCTATTAGAGCTTTTTACTCTTCATATTTTACCCTAAGGTAAGAGAGGCTGTGTTTTGATGAAAAAACTAATGAAAATTAACCTTTTGAAATAAATTACTTAATCCTTCTGTATTTACTGTACATCTGGATAAAACCAGAATGTTTATAAGCGAAATACAAAAATGTGTACCAGTGAACAAAACTAATCAAATTCACCAGTCACCAGGCTGGTTAATATTATAAAGACTCTGTGAATCATGAATATCCAGCCAGCCTGAGGGTACAAATCCATGAATCTAGGGAGTTTACCTGTCTCTTTTAGTCAGCAGGCTCTCCCTTTTCCATCACTACAATTTAGGCATATATTGTCTAATAATAAATGTGATAATAAAAATGTAGTTTGGGAAGCAGGATGTTGTAATAGAGCTTTATATCAAAAGTAAGATTCATTTTACTTAATTTAGCCAACTACAAGCTAGCTGCTTAGCCTAATCTAGTTGTGTAGGCTCCCTCTTTAGTGGGGAGACAGAGAAAGCTGGGATGGATTGCGTTTGGGAGGTGCCTGTCTCTCCACTGACAATAGAGGGAGCCTACTCAACTGGCTTAGGCAGGATACTTAACTTTTAGGTGGGTATGAGTTACTTCAGGAAAAGTCTGATTTGCTTCAGGAGATTTGAGTTCTCATTTGTTTTCCTACTGATTTACAGCATAACCTTGGTAATATCACTTAATTTTTTTTTATTTTTTTTTTTTGGACCTAGTATCTCCATCTAAAAAATACCCTACACCTTGGTAATATCACTTAATTTTTTTTTTTTTATTTTTTTTTTGGACCTAGTGTCTCCATCTAAAAAATACCCTATGCATAAAGTTCTTGGAGAACATTTTCCAAGGATGAAATACAGGTGCAAAATGGTTTTTTTCCCTGGTTTTCCTATTTTGACATGTCTGTAGTTGTCATTAAAATAAATAGAATTTTTGTGACAGTGTAAGTTTTATGCGTGATGAGAAGCAGAGCTGAGTGAAAATTATTTTAGAAGCAGCATACATCTTCCTCAGATGTGACAGAATATTGTAAAAATAAAAATATAGTAAATGGTAACATGTATTGTTTCTCCTATCTTTGCTTCTCCTTCGCACCTTCCACCACCCGTCCGTCCTCTCTCCTCCCCCCAGCAAAAATATATAGGGAGTGGGGAGAACATTCTTCAGATTAGACCTGTATTTTAAATAACCTTGGCCTGTTTGCAACTGGGAAAATGTTTTTTTACTTGAGAGATTTATTTCTGTCCTTGTAACACCATGTACTATATGCATTGCACCTGTTCAGACATAAGCACAGCACATTATTATAGCTGTAGGGGCAGAAGCTTCCCAATATATATTTTTTGAAAGGAGAGAATGCTGGGGAGAATAGCCCTCTCTTTTCAATTGTTTACCGAGCAGTCTCTTAGGAAGACTTCTTCCTCATCAAGATCAATTTTCCCTGCTCCCCTATTGTCTGGGGAAACCTATCTCCAGGAGCGTCTTTCTTGAAAGATCTCATGACTTTAAAATCATCAGTGGGCTTTGTGTAGTCTGCCTGTCAAAAGAGATATGTTTACACCTTCCCTGCATGTGTTAGAGCTATAAGGTTACGGAGCAGAATGGCTGATACGTTTCGGCGCTCCATGCTAATATGCACAAAAAATGTATTTATGATAATCATATGGACTGTCTGAAACAATGCATTCCAACATCCTGTAACATAAATAAGAAAGGTGGAGCCAGCCGGCACCGAAGTGTTTATTTGCCAGCAATCCTGCTCAGCCCCGTATACCTTTGCTACGCCGCCTCAGCCTGGCAGTATTGAACCTGTTGCTGCATTAGCCGAGTTGTATTTTGCTAGATAGGGGAAGGAGGGTTGTCTGCTGTCTGGGAGGAGGGCTTTGTCTGTGTGCGCCTTTCTCTCTCTCCCTCGCTCGCTCTCCCTGTCTCTCGCACTCTCGCTCGCTCTCGCTCGCTCTCTCTCGCTCGCTCTCCCTTTCCCGTCTCTGTGGTTTGTAAGGTAGGTTGCAGTGTGTGTATATACACAACATCAAGAGCAGGAAAATGGACTCATTAGGGAGGCAGGCAGTCATTACCACTCACACTGTACTTCCAGGGAGACAGCGACTATGAGGAGACAAACTGAGGACTGGGGAACAAGGTAGGCCAGTCAACTTTTATAAAACATAAAAGAATAAAGCCTCTGCTCTCCTTAAACCACCACCAGTTCTTTATTTCCCCCCCCCCCCGCCCCCCCTCGATTTTTAATTTAGAGATGTAAGTTTGCCAGACCAATTTGCTAGCTTAAAATTCGGAACATCTATAGAAGGCCTTACCCTCTACAAATGTTCCCCCCCCACCCCGACTTATTTAAGGGTGTGCCCCCTTATGATTCACTTTAATTACTTTTTTTTAATCATAAAGGAAACAAATACGTTTGTTTTCCAACACTAGTTCCAAGTAAATCAATATCTTTCACTCTTTTAAAACAGCTCTCTCCGTATGTTTGTGGGTCTCCCTGCTTTTTCTTTTCTGTTTATGCAGTTCCATCTGTCCGTCCATATATCATGTTTTCCTTATTTACTGCTAAATGGGGCTTTATTAGTATTTGCCAATGACTTTTAACTGTAATGCCGGTGACCAGGGTTAACGGTGACTCTCGTTCTTTGTTTTCTATATATATGCACGCTGTAAGTTTAAAGTCCATGCCTGGCATACAGTAAATAAAAGCAAAAAAAGAGAAAGCAGGTTCCACTCTTCTTGACAGGATTTTTATTCAGAGGTTTTGCTGTTTATCTGTTTTGATGTGGAGGCAGAGTGGGTTAATTTTGGTTTTTGTACATGTACTTTTTCCTCCTGGATATTTTTAACATCTATTTTTCATTATTAGTGTTTTTGCAGTTTCCTTTGCTAGCAAGAAAGGAGACATATATTCTAACTTTTATGTTGCTGATCTAATGTAACATTATGGAGGCATCACTGGGTTAATAAGAATTCAAACTTTCTAAGAGGGAGTTTGTATCCTTGGCTGCCCCCCACCCTCCCACTTTATGCATGGTTATGCTTGTGTTTCCGTGTGTACTGACGGGGAAGGGAGGGGGGAAGGGAATAGATATTTTTTACAGTGGTGGCAAATTATGAAATCTATCGAGCCATTTTGTCCAGAAATAGTAACTATTTATTTACCATTTTTCATTCGGCAATTATGCTGCTTATTTATGTTTTCAAACATCGAAGCTTGTCTCAGATTTTTTTTCTTTTTTTTTTTTTTTTCTCCTGGGGAGAGATTTGTGATGCATTTCATAGCCCATTTAGCACTGTCGAGTTTTTGGAGCCCAGATTTATCCTGGGTTCTAAAGACTGCTTAAACTGATCCATTTGAAATGGTCTTTTCATCTGAGCTCTTGTCATTTCTGTTGGAGAGTAAAACTACTACTCTGCTGGTTACAAAAAAAAAGAGAAAAAAGAAAAGAAAAAAGAGAAGGGATAGTGGAAGTGAGTTACATAAAGTGTTCTGGAGAATCCTAAGTAATTATATAAAATGGACGCTGATCACTGGAGGTCTCTGAACAGTAACAATCACCTTTTTTAATAGAAAATTATTTATTTAATAGCAAGAGGCGGACTTCTTCAAAACATGCATTAGGCCTTCCTTTTAGCACAAAGAAGTCCATAATGCAATATCCCTCACCCACCTGAGACTGCCTAGGAGATTCTCCAAAACCTTCAAATCCTTTGAAATGTTTCTTAAAAATCCATTATTTTGCAGCCAGAAAGAACTTTTGCTGCCAACAGGTTTTTTTTGCTGTTGTTTGGTGTTTTTTTTTAGCTGTCCTTTAACTTACGAGTCCCCATTTCTACAGAAGTGCCTCCTCGCTGAACAAACTAAGTTAATTGAAATCCAAAGCAGGAGATCTATTCACTGGCACTGTAACTACAGAAACTACTTGCTCCATTTTATTAGCAGCTTTTCCAGAACATGAGTGAAACTTTTCAAGGTTTTATATATCAGTATGCCAAAATTTGGTGGCGCGTTTCTTAGCTGGGGAGTGACATTTATCGTTTACTATTTTTTTCCTCCTTATTTTTATTCAAACTTTTAAATTAATATTTTGTTGACAGACTGTAAATGTGTATGTTGCTCTAAATGACTTGTTAACTGTAGCAAGGTACGTTTCTCCTCTCCTAAAGTTTGAATCTCAGGCTTTGAAACTCAGATTAGTGGTAGAGGGGATGCTGAAGTTACGTCAAAAAAATGTAGGGGTCTTAAAGGTGGGTTTGCTGGTGCATATAGATGGTGCTTAGCCTGGAGTGAGGCAGCAGGAGTGTTTGCAGCCGTCCTGCTCGTGGTGGGATGGGTGAGGGGTTTTCAGGCACCTGTCATTTTCTCCTGCACCAGTGCAGGTGTATGTTCCTCAACAGTCCAGGTTTTTTGTAGGGGAGCACATGGTCCTGTCCTCAGGTCCTTGTGCATGTACTTTTAGCAGAAGCCCAGGCTCATCTGAACATTTTGAAAAGCTTTAAAAATGACTACAAGATACTGCTTGATTTTATGAAAACTCCAGGCAAGAAGAATTCAAGCAGAGAAAGAGAGTCACAGTAGCAGAAACATTTTTTCATTATCTGGTAATTCTTTCTAATAGTAAAACCTTTTTCACTAGGAGGATGTAATTTTCCTTGAGCCCCAACTATTTTTTATAAAAAAAAAAAAAAAAAAAAAAAAGAAACCAAACCAAAAAACAAACAAACAAAAACCCCAAACAAAACAAATCTTAGCTCTTTCAATAGCACAAAGTCCGTTTGCAATCTGGATACAGCAGCAAAGGGTAAAGTATGCCTGAGTAAACTTAAATCCAGCATATGTAGCTAGAACTCGGGGAATGCCAAAGCCCTTGGCCAGGGAGGTGCAGCCAGGTTTGGTGGCGCGGGGTGCCCGGGGTCCCCTGCCCGCAGCCCGGGCAGCTGTGCGGGGCAGGGCTGGCGCTGCTCGCTGGGTCACACTGTGCTTTATTTTAGTGTTGGAGCAGACAGTTATCTAACACACCCACATGAGGAAGTGCTCTGGAGCAGTTATTTCATGCCTTGCCATGCCCTGTAGCTAGAGCAATTTTGGGCTGAATGGCGTGTGTATGTGCCGCTCTCACTCCTGGGAGACGAGAAGCAGTGCTGTTGGGGTTTTTGTGTGTATGTTTTTGTCCTGGCGTTTTGTTGTTTTGTTGTTTGGTTTTTTTGTTTTGTTTTGTTTTGGGTTTTTTTTAAAACAGGACCAAAAATGGGATATAAGACAGTTAAATCCAAATACCAAACAAATACCAAGTCAAATTATTTTTAATAGTGGAGGATGTTGTTTTTCTCTTAAAGGAGGAAAAAATATCCATCTTGTTTATTTTGATAAAGACAGTTGTAGCAATTTCCTGAGATGAATATATCATTATTATAAATATTACTCACAGTTTTCCTATTTTCACATTTTCTGCATAGGCCCAGCTTATTCATAAGGGAAAACAGCTGCAGAATATTAAAAAAAAATGTAATATTATTTATATAAAACTTTGATGTATATAGCGAATAGTGTCCCCTGCTAGAAAATTCTGTGGGATGGCTTACAAATCCCGTACAAGAGAGATTACAGTCTTAGATAAATTGTTACTTAAATCATTTCAAGAAAACCTTGCTCATTTTTGCAGACCATATGAGGTCTCAAGCAGAATAATTTGAATAGAAGTTCTGTTTAGAAATTGATGGCATGCTGTGGCCTTACAGATTTCAGTTGGTTTCACTCCAGTCTGTTTTTATAGGACTTCTTTAAACTGCGATCTGTATGGTAAAGAGCTTCTGCTGAAAGAGATTCGTAAATGTTAATGGGAATTTAAAGAGTGAAATTTAACTTCAAATTACTTATATTTTTTTTAACAAAACTTTTAGAAAATCCAAATCCTTTATAAAAGTCTTAAAGTTTCTTGTTGTTGTTTTTTGGTGTTTTTTTTTAATTAAACTGAAACAATGCACTGGAAATAGTTACTGTTAAAGAATAACTTGTTCCCTCTGAAGGGTCTGACATTCACACTGTAGTGCAGAGAGAAAATGATGGCAAATCACAGTGAAATGGACTTCACTGTTCTGGTTAGTTTGGTCCAAGAAAATTTTAGAAAGTAAACAAACAGTATCAACTGTGAAAAATTACTTGGCTTTTTAATAATTTATCAATGCCAGTTTTGTCTTGGTGAAAAGTAATGTTTGACCATATACCAAATTTTGAGATCCTTTTGTAAGATCTGTACCGTTTTAACTTGAAGAGATTTTCACAGCTGTATTAAACTTTCAGTGAGGAGTAAATAAAGGCAAAGGCTTTTGTCCAGGTGGTTTTTCCTTTGATAGTGTTGACTATATTCTTGGTTAGTATTTATTATAAAAGTTAATGTTTAGTTCTAACGGCACAGATTCAATTCTCCTCTAATCGGAGCATTTCAGAATGACTACTCCTTATGTCTTTCATGTTTTCTTACACTTCTGTACTTAATCCTCCAGCACCATCGTGTGCTATGATGGCATTTTGACTGCCCAGCACTAGCAGGAGTTCTGTTTGCAGATGGGTCTTGTAAAATGGTCACCAGAGGCACAGAGCCATGTGCCACCTCCTCTTCCTTAGCAGCTGGGGCAGCCAGGGCTGCCGGTGCCGCGGGGCAGGTTGCTACACATCCCTGAGGTTTGCAAGAGGCAAGAAGTTCAGCTTTTACCCCGTGCAGGGAAGACCGTATCTTGAGGTAGATAGAATACAGGAAAGGGAAATTGGGCTAACGGGATAAAGCTGTCTTTAAAGAAAAAAACCCCACAGTTCTTCTCACAGCTGGCTGTTGGCTTTGGTGAAATGAGTGTGGAGGGTCCCAGGATGTTTAAAGGGGCAGATGTTCACCTCTCAGAGAAGGGAGCTGCTGGCTGAGTTGGCAGTCGGTGGCACTATGGGAGGAAAGGCCATGGACTATTCCAGAACAAAGGCTAAAATCCTTTCATGCCAAGAATGGCCTCCCGATCCCATCAGTGACAACCTGCCCCACCAGCCTCATGGAGGGTGCATTTGTAGCTTGTGCTGTACTTGCTGTTCTCAGACACTGCTGCTCAAGATCTTTCATGGCAGATAGGGACTCTAACACAAACTAGTCC